AAAGTCGTCTATGCGTGATATGGTGCTTCTGGGTGTACCAATCGATGTCATAAAAATAAAATTCCCTTCTATCCATGTCAAAGCAAACTGGCATATGTTCAGCTATGACAAAACAGGAGTATTTGTGCACCCCGGTCTCGCTACTTCCTGGAAAGTCGCCTTCACCCATATACGACATTTTGACGTCACAGACGCGCTCCACCACTAAATGGCGCGATCTATATTTTCTATTTCAAGTTGAACGAGGCGCGTTTCATTTACTTGTCCAATAGTCAATAAAAGTTACTCTTGTTTTTTGTCTAAAGATTTTCTCTACATTTTGACGGAATGGGATATAAACTTACAGCAGTTTTAGTAACTCGAATTTTAATTATCAGTTAACCGAACTTCGAATTACAGGAAATACACAACGTTTAAACGAAACACAAATTCTATGGTGCCCGTAACTCGACGTTCGGTAAACTGTTACAGTTACTTGAACATCGAGTTACAATTTGGGCATGGTTTCGCAAAAGTGGGCGTGGTTTATGAAATATGGGCGTGGTCATTTTTGTAACTCGATGTTCGTAACTTGAAGTCCGTAACTCGATGTTCGTAACTCGAAGTCCGTAACTCGAAGTCCGTAACTCGAACAATTTAGCATCTCAGTTGTCTGTTTTTTATATGACAACATTGTTTAACCATAGACCTTAGAAAGAGATGGTTTAACTATGCAAAGGGAGTTGTAAATTATTTGCTGTTGCTGCCGACAGTCTAGGCGCGCGGGGGGGGGGAGGTTAGGGTAGATGGGGCTATTGGAACATTGATAAGAACTTTCCCGTACGAATCTCGATTACCAAATATATAGATCACTGTTTGTCTGTATTACAGTTATAATCACATAAGTCAGCACATTGACATTACAGAATCAATTATAAGAATTCAACATTAGATTTAAAAAAAATGTGTCGTGCAGACAGGAAGTAGTTCATATTGCATGAATTGCAGGTACTTAAGATCCTAAAATATATGCTAATCCATATCTGGGAAATTTATTAAAGCTGTTATACGTCATGTTATTGCTAACTGATGTCCTATCCAATCCACTGTTTTAGGAGTAATACCAAGTACAAAGACCAGAAAAAAACAACCACCAAAGCCAGAAGTTGTAAAAATCATGACGGAGAGACTGAAATTAGAAATCGAGTTTTATGAATTTATCAAGGATCGATTCCAAAGGCTGAAACGCCAACTGCAGATTGACGTCCATGATAATTATTTGTAGTGCATGCATGCAACAAATATCCTCAGGAAGTGACGTAATTTATTGACAAGTAAAGATTATCTCGTTTCACCAGTGTGTCGATAGAGGGCGTCGCGCTACATAACTTTTGTTATCACGTCAGTTAAACGAGCCTGACGAGTTCATTATGGGAAACTAAGACCGGGCGTACTTTTCTATTTATTTGTGGGATAAACGACACAGACGCAGTGTGCATTCTTTGGGATCAAATTCAAATGTGAACGTGTGTCTTCTTCTTTCCTGACACTAAGATGCAAATATTTAATGATGATATGAAAATGTCATTAACAAACGACTGTAGTCTTTATAATATTGAATTATTGAATTCGTTAAGAGTAACTATTGACAATGACGTACTGATCAGGGGGAAATGTTGTTTTCATTCTTCTATTTTTCGAGCTCGTGGTATAAACGAAATATCCATATTGAATACTGTAAAATAATTTATTTTCACAGAAGGGATGATTCAGTGAAAAAAAAAATCACTTACAAAACACCCGAACTGTCTTTTCAATAAAATATAATATTTTACAGTAATATGAACCATAAGTCTAGCACACTCTAGCGACCAAACACTTCAATGACCTCATCATCAACCCAGATTTGCACCGTCGTTATTTTTTTCTCGTTTTAGAGAGTTTCTATTTCTAAATGACTGTTTGACGTCATAGACGTCATGTTGCTTACATCTATCTACGTTGCATTGTGAGTATGCTTCATGCATTCCGAAAATGTACATTTTCTTCAGAATGTTTTTTTTTCTCCAGATTTTTGAATAGTGATTTCATCTGTTTTAGAGAGTTTCTGTTTCTAAATGACTGTTTGACTTCACAGCCAAATATTGCTTACACCCATCTACGTCACATTGACGTCACATACGCGCTTCGACGGTGATTGGCAGTATATAGATAAACGAAACGAAAACGTGAAGGTAAAAAAAATAAACAAAGTTCGGAATCCGAAATTACGAATTATGTTAAGATATGTTAAATTCAAATCAAATTATGTATTCAATTTATTCTTGAGAATTAAATCATTCCCTTACATTAAATTCACGGTTTGTGTCTGCTTTACTTTCGCTCCCAAGTAGATATTAGAAGCAAATGGACGCCGTGATCTCGTTGAGAACGATAGAGTCGCGAGACTTGTGTTTATCTCTCAAATAACGCACAAAGCTTGTGGTTATCCACGATCCTATTTAGTTTGTACTCAAATATATTGGTTGAAAAATGTCACCAATAAACAGATTTCTGTGGATATTAGTATGTTTCATGCGTTCTGAGAACGTGTATTTTAGAATATTTTTTCTTCTTCTTCTTCAGATTGTTGAATAGTTTGGTTTGCGAGAGTAGTAGTTTTTTTTGAACAGTAAACCGAACTTAGTTCATAATAGTCATACTATATAATTCTTAGGTAACTAAGGAAATCCTAAGCACCAGACCAGGCTGTGTTTTTGAGTGAGTGAAACAAAGAAATGTCCATATTAGCAGCCAGGTGATTGGCATCATTTTTCGCATTTCTAGAAATTGTCTTTTGGCAGACTTGGAAAAAAATTTGACATTCTGATCACACAATGCAAAAACCCACTTTGACAAATAAATAGAGCAGACTCTTTAGGAATTCAAAATGTAAAATGTCCAATGGCACAAATTATAGAGAATTCTGGGTAATTTATGATAGTGCTATGTAGTATTCCCCGAAAGTATTCCATACCTTCTCGTCGCCGCGTTTAATGTTTACAAAACCATAGTTACACAGGGGAGCAGTGAACACGTGACGGAACGGAATGAAACAAAACACAAGTCTCGTGGATCTGATGTACACAACGAGAACTCGACGACCATTAACGTTTAAGGTTTATTCAAATGAGGACTCTTGCCATAAATAGTGGACAAAACGTCTCCATGGAAATAGAAAACGGCCCGCATACTGAAATGGAGCGGCTGGGTTAAATAATCAGCTGGCGTCAGTTCCTATTCAGTATTCGGGTTAAATCGGACATCAATGGGTCAATTCAAGTAGAAAAATATGTTATTGCAAAATGTAACACGCATCATACACAACATTTGGGAAAATGTAAAGCATCGCTTTCAAATCACGTGCTAATACACATTTCCTGCGCCCTCTAGCGACGACGCTCTTCTACGGCGTAAATGAGAGACCCGGATGTCGTTCAAAACATCAGTATCGTTAGGTTTTGAGAAATTTTACTATATTATGCTGGAGAGAGACAGCGCAATCAAACACCATTGTTGATTTGAACGATATTACTTTCACAATACAATAAGTAATTATACGCAACTGTGACACTATAGAAATGTAGAAGAATCTGTAGGTGTATTCTTTGCCTGACATGTAGAAGTGAGTAGACCCTCACCGGCCGAATGTGTTGAGTTTGAAGCAACGCGGAGGGCGCAACTCACGTGACTCCTCAATCTAGTGTATCCGTTGATTTCACTCATACCGACAAATGACAAAAAACCAACAGGCATATTGTCTTAGTCGGCCTTGATCCCAGTCACTTGGAACTAGAAATCGTGATAATTAAAACGTTGTGTTGTGTTCGGCATGGGTTCCATGCGACGCATACAAATAAATTGAAACGATGACTGTGGCGCATACAAACTGATTATTTATGGCGAAACACTGTTACCTCTATCTGGTAGAACTACTAGAAGGTTTGTGGTTAAAAATGGAATACTTATGTTCGCACAGCAGTAACAACACACAGTGGGTAGAGTGCCGTCCACAAACACCAATAAGTCAATCACATCACGGTTATTGACTGGCTAGACAATATCACAAATATTGGTTAAAATCATTGCTCATTAACCCTGTTTTTGTTTGCATTTAAATTTAATAAAGGTACGCCCTCTCTGGCAACAAATGAACGACAAGTGCGTAATATTGGAGGTCACTGGTGTTAGAAATTTAAAGGGCGGTAGTCGTCGCGCCACGCATGCGCGAGATATATGGGTCTCATATAAACAAAGATGGCGACTTTGACTTTGACGCAGATCAACGAGTACAAAATGAGACGTTACTAAGCTTTAATTAAATATTTTTTCTATGTGATTGGAGGGTATCGAAAGAGTCACCGACTGTAATTAGTGCAAATCGCGCCCAGGTCAAACCTCATACTTTCTATTAGAAGAGCGCATTGGATTGTGGGAAAATCAGTACAAATGTTTTTTTCAGGCAGCCGATCATACTAGTAATTACAATATTGGTACGCAGATGGGTGGGTTCGTCAGCCTTAATCACCTGGTTCGCCTTGGTCGTCACTTACTACATGCCATCAATGCGTCTGATCATCATAGATTACGTGACAGAAAAAAATGCTCATTTGTATTGACTTCATAGAACACGAGACTTTAGATATCGGACTCCATAACCTTATTTGTACTGTGCGTCTGTTCAACCGTAAGAAAACGGTATAAATACCCCCAGACACGGCACAATGGATATATATATATATATATATATATATATATATATTCATCGTGAGTGGCTGACATACACCTATTCTTAACTGATCTATGATACAACATAATACGTTTTCATTCTGGCTGAATTAGGTCAAAAGCCCGAGGGATAGAAAAGGACATTGGTACAGTGGATGATTTCCATAACATTGTTCTAGGGGCCCGCGTTCGGAAATACTACGTAACTCCCCGGCAGTGTGACAGGGAGCCGAGCCCGTCGGCAAAATCGTAGCAATATGATAAGATTGTGTGACCAGTGCCGCCAGAAGCTTAATTCGCATTGTAACTTCGTTAAAGTACGGCAACTCTGTTTGGAGACTCGGTTTTAGGAACTTGGAGCGTTGGACGTTAAACTAAAGTTAGGTTAACCGTTAATTAACTTGAAAATTAAAAGTAGTACTGTAAAAGGATTAATTATTCACTGGGTTTTAACTGAATTTGGCTTATTTCGCTGACTGGAAAATGCGCTAAATTAAAACCCAGTGAATTTGTAAAATTTTGCATAGAACAAATTATCTAAATGATAAAACCGTGAATTTAAAACCCACTGAATATGCCTGAAATGGTAAATCAACCCAGTGAACATTAGTAATTTTACAGTATAACTTGAATTACAGTGAACAGTTAAGGTGGCGTTACAGGGAAAAATGCATTTAGAGGTGGAATTTCACTTTTTTTACTTTTTATATAGCAGAAAACGTCCTTGTTCTTGAATGACAATTTCAAAATTATATAGTGAGTAGAACACCTTATAAACTAGGTTTAAAATTATTAAAAACAAACACATGTGCCACGGTCTTAGTTTAACTGTTTAATTTGCATAAATCTTGCTTAATGAATGTTGATTGATCGCTGGAGCTTAACAGTAGTATGCAAATCATGTTTCGGGAAGACCAGTTTTGTTTCCTATGTACTTCTTCCCCCATAGAGCTACCTCCATGGTTTTACAAACGCTGTTCGTACGCAACACAACAGCTATTTTATATCCCGAGATTTATTTATTATACACAACAATGCCACGCGGAGTAAAAAGGTGAACAGGTCCGAAAAAAGAAAGTAGATGAAAAAAGAATGTTACTGAAAGAATTAGACCGTGGTTCCTATCATAACCAAAGAGAAGACGCGATTTGCATTCTGTACCGAAAGTGACAGGACCCGACAGAATCCAACTCGGAGTATGAAACAGACACGGTATTATACATCGGTACAACATCGAGTTATAAGCTGGGCGTGGTTTTGCGAAAGTGGGCGTGGCCACAACCCAGCCTCCTGTTTTCTTGTAAAAAAGGAAATTATTTGTATTTCACCTTATTTCCCGGTTTAGTGGAAATTTATTTCTGTTATGTTCAGAAACACTTCGAAGTACTTTGCCGAAATATTTACATCTTGAAATATCTTGATGTGCAGCCTGATTACCGCTGTTTTAGCGACGGTTTGGTTTAATATTATTACAGGGTAAAACATTATTATAATTTCCTTATGTAGCAAATGATATCGATCATAATTTTCACCTGATTCACAAGGTCGTTTGCATTTGACTGGGCGTTCCCTGTAAAGTTATTGTATTTATTCGCGATTGTTACAATACCCTTCATAGTACGTAGCAGCTCGACGTATGCAACAACGCAAGTCGATCAACGCTCTGCGCATGTGTCACGGTGGACTCAGGAACAGTTAGTGTCGGAGTGTGTCGACCTAGTTTTGAAAACAGTACGCTACAGTTGATATACAACAGTTCGCACACTCACGCACATATCGAACTCGATCACTCAATCCTAAGTTACACATTAACCGGACCACCCCGGGACTGTACCTCGCTGTGGCAATCCCGCTATATAGCAGGTCGACGAGGACAAACACGACAAATCTCACACACGTGTCAATGCCGGGCGTGTCTGTTCGCCGGCGAGAAGTATAAGACTCGGTCTAGGTGAGTACGTTCATGGGATCTATTTAGACTGTGCTACCATTATTGATGTTGATGTACTATGTGTGGGTCTTTGTCATACTGTCATAAAGGGGTTTAATTATGATCAGTCGCTAATAACAAGAACGACGCACAGTTTATTGAAAATATGTCGGTGGATGTTAATAACAACTCAATTTGTTTTCATTTGTTTCCCTAAACTGTGGTTTACCTGCTTCGACTTTTTGTTGTGGTTTGCTCATAATACATGTTCAAATGTGTTTATACTATTTCCATTTCCGCAAAATACAATCATACTGAGTCAATACTCCCATAAGACAAGATGGCTGGCGTGAAATTCATCGTGATCAACACGGATTAAAAATAATGTGATCTTGTCTTTTTTTTTGCTTGGCGCGGCGACCTCATCCGTGTTCTGACTTGCAGAAGCTCAATGAATGTAAACAGTGTCATGTGATTCTGTGGCACTAGCCACTGTTGCTGCGAGCGCACTCCCATGTTCCACGTTGAACAATAAAATCAACAATAACAGACGAGGAAAGTCAAAGTACATTGACGTGGATCTCCGGGATTATAGTTCAACACACAAGCGATATAATACAATATCAATGTCATGTGTACCGTAGCGTACACATACACGTGTATATTCTAAATGAACTGCTGTATACTTTCAAGGTCACCGTGACCGCGACTATTAGGTCAGCTGTACAATAGGTCGTTCGATGCCGATATTACCCTCAAGGCAAATTATTAACATCGACAACAAAAATATACAACTCCGGCCTAGATTCATAAAGACGACCTTTAATGCAAAGAAAACTATACAATGCACAGCTTCCGCGCTGAACAGGTTTAAGATTCAGAGGTTACCCTGAGAAGTCAATACAACTACATAGTGTTACGTGTCGTTGTGTTGTTGCGTTATGGGTGTATATTGGGTCTATAAGAGAGAGATAGAGAGAGAGAGAGAGAGCAATTGCTGCGGGCAAAGTTTAGCAAGTAAGCGCAAGATTTCATGATTAGGGAAAATACCTGTGGAAATTAAAATTTGTAGAAACATTTCTCACGATGTACGACAAGGTTTACGTATTTGCATTGGTCAGCCTTGCTGACAGACACAGTTTTACTCTCTGAAATGTGTGGGTAAATTGGGAGATTGTTAGATGACGACGATGACGCCCCACGCCCAAACTAATGGCAAGGACGAATCAGTTTTCTGGAATTCTTATCACATTATACAATAACTGACGCAAGGTATGCAACGTCGCCCAGACACGTAATGAAGACCAAACGAGAAATCGCGAGACGAACACAAAATATGTATGGATGCATGAACGGACACTTGACATGTAATTTCTTTTTTATTCAAAATATATTTTAATAAAAATTTACTATAATTTTATTGACCAGAAAATGCTGAAACCGATTATCCAAACAGCACTTTTGGTATAGGGATACAAATATTGCATCATGTACACGGATCGCTGCGCGTGACTTGCCATTACCCACTGAACAATATAACCACTAAATGATATACAGCATTGGTGAACATCGGGACAGCGTCGAGAGACCTGGTTTTATCTTTTTTCATAGCATTTAAAAAAGTCGTGTTTAATCAGGAGCATTAAATCTAAACACCATTTCCACACAGGGAGAATAACACATCCCACAAAACACGGACTTGTTCTGTACTAAACTGAAAAAAAAAATCCACGAAACTCCTCTGATTGGTAAACCAACTCAATGCCAACGTAACACGAAACACGCAATTGCTCAATGCCCAAACACGTACGCAACATACATTAAACACGGTACAAATCGTCCGTATAATATCCGATACTTCGTGTCCCTATTAACCAAGTTGTTGTGGGGGGTACTTGAATTTACGATTCCAGGCATAATCCACACACGTTAGTTATCATATATACTACTAGTATTTACGTACTTCTAGATTACACATTAATGATCCAGAAAACTGAATGCGATCCAAATATGCCAGGGTTTGGAAAAAGTAACCTTAATATAAATTGGAGAAATACTTTAACCGGTTGGGCGCGCCCATGTTTGAAGTTCCCTCGGGGAATTTAGTTTTATTATACACGATTTCTCATGTTACTTGCACTAATCAACTGACGACCCAGAAGAGAGCCATGACGACGTATTGTAATGGTCTGTTGTACGGTACTACCAAGGTTAGCGTAACCTTGATCAGTGCCATCTCAGACAACTAATTGTCTGAGGCGCAATCCGACAAGACGCGAATGAAGACAAATGCATGTGAATGTTAATCGGTTTCCAGGATAAATCACGCGTATTAAAAATGTGATTACACATCTTCAGCATTTTATAGTTAAATTATTAAATTTATTATTATTTCTCATTTTCGCTGAATCGGTCGTTATCCTGAGAAATAGTCGTACTGTATG